ATTCGCGTCGGTCTCTTCACGCCCGACATGGCCTTTGAGGCCATCGTCAAGAAGCAGATCGAGCGGCTGAAGGAGCCCAGCCTCAAGTGCGTCGATCTGGTGGTGCAGGAGCTCACGAACGTGGTGCGCTCGTGCACCGACAAGATGGCACGGTACCCGCGTCTGCGCGACGAGACGGAGCGCATCGTCTGCACCTTCATCCGCGAGCGCGAGTCGGAGGTGAAGCGCCAGATCATTCTGCTGGTGGACTGCGAGCTCGCCTACATGAACACCAACCACGAGGACTTCATCGGCTTCGCCAACGCCCAGTCTCAGACGGAGAATGCCAACAAGACCGGCCGCAAGCTGGGCAACCAGGTGATCCGGAAGGGTTTCCTCGGCATCAGCAACCTGGGCATCATGCGCGGCGGCTCGCGTGACTACTGGTTCGTGCTGACGTCCGAGAGCCTCAGCTGGTTCAAGGACGAGGAGGAACGTGACAAAAAGTACATGCTGCCGCTGGACAACCTGAAGGTGCGCGACGTCGAGAGCGGCTTCATGTCGCGCCGCTCGGCGTTCGCCATCTTCTCGCCGGGTGGGAAGAACGTCTACAAGGACCTGAAGCAGCTGGAGCTGTCGTGTGAAACTTCCGAGGAAATGGACTCGTGGAAGGCGTCGTTCCTGCGCGCCGGTGTCTACCCGGAGAAGGAGGCGCCCGCCAACGGAGATGAGGGCAACTCTGAGCCGTCCGCCTCGCTGGACCCCGCCCTCGAGCGGCAGGTGGAGACCATCCGCAACCTGGTGGACAGCTACATGAAGATCGTCACCAAAACCACCGGCGACCTGGTGCCCAAGACAATCATGTACATGATGATCAACCAGTGCAAGACGTTCATCATGGGCGAGTTGCTGGCGCACCTGTACGCCAGCGGCGACCAGACCAGCATGATGGAGGAGTCGGAGGAGGAGGCCGCCAAGCGGGAGGAGATGCTGCGCATGTACCACGCCTGCAAGGAGGCGCTGCGCATCATCAGCAGCGCCCAGCTGGCCTGCACGGCGGCGCCCACCTCTGCCGCCGTCAACATGGACTTCGCCAACTCGACCAGCAGCGGGCCGTCGCCGGGCGTGGCGCGGCGCGGCCCTCCGCCGCCGGCGGCCTCCCGCGGCCCACCGCCCGTGCCGGCCTCCAGCCGTCCGGCGCCGGCCATCCCATCGCGACCGGGCGGCCGCCAGGGCCTGCCGCCGCCGCTGCAGCCGAGCCGGGCCGGCGCGCCGCCGCCCGTGCCCGGCCGGCCGCGCTAGGCGCCAAGACGCGAGACCCAGGCGCCCCTAGCCGGCGGCCGCCGGGGACGGCCGCCATAGCCTAGATCTGAGGTGGCTGCGGCCGCCGAGGAAGGCACACCGGCCCGACACCGGCCCGCGGAGTCGTCCGTCATGGTAGGTGGCTCGAGGGAGTCTTCTGGGACAGTGTGTCGGTCCGGCTCCCTCCCCGTGGGATCGGCACCGGTGTGACACTGACTGAAGTTGACCGACACATTTATTGGACTTTGTGTCGCTACTTGGTTCTATTTGGAACTCTATTTTGCCGTTACGGCAAAGACTTGTTGTGCATTGTACATTGTTGTATTTGGTTGAGGGAGCATGCCTAAAACGCTACTTAGCTCGGTGATAAGTTTTGCTTTCATATGACATAGTTTTTCGTATCTTTGCCCATGACAATGTTAATGCTTGCAACTATCGTTAATGTTGTTCTGCATTCCAATAACAGCTTCCATAGGTAATTGAGATCTCCCGAGATTTTTGGCCGTCTTGATGTGGCGCGGACCCTCGCTCGGCCCGCCCTGTGCCGCGTCCGGCGGTGTGCCAACGGGCCGGCCTGTCGCCCCTCTGTTGGACGGCGCTCCTCTGCGTCCGGCCGGTGTGCCCGCCCCGGCCTCCACCCCACTATTGTCGAACGTAGCTCAAGCTGTTAGTCGTTGTTACTGTTATTACCGATCCGGTGTGGCCGAGGCGCCGTGCGCTCGGGTGTCGGTCCCGCGCGGGCGGCCCGCCGCGGCGCGGTAGCCGGCCCGTCGGCCTCTAGTTGGTGTTGTTGGTCTCACGGTACGGCTCTAGGCCAGCGTGGTGATGTTCTGCACTCCGGGGTCGCCGCCGGTCCTCACCGGCCCCTCAGCTGTACATGACGCTTCAGTGGCGGCGTTACCGACAGTTGCCCGTCGCGATACGGCATAATGGACGTTTAGCTAGGCTCAGGGCCAGCGTGATAGATGGCATCATTTGTAGAGACGTTCAGTTGACACAATCTCCCGCGTCGCATTGTGATATGTGCTCCCGATTGAATTGGGTTTGTTAAGCGTTGATACGTTTACCTGATGCTGAAAATAATGATCTGATTAAATCATCATCTCGATGTGCACTGAGAGTCGTAGCATATCTTGTGCGTTCCAGGAGTGGTAAATACATCTGTCGTCAAGTGGATTGGCTGTGTCCAGGCGACGGAAGCGACAGGGTATCATCCGGCGAAAGCGGAAAGGAACTCGTTTTTTGTCCACTGCGAGATCACTGAAAACATGCGAACCTTCCGGTATGTCGAACAGCGACTCTGCAAAATCTGGAACAAATTGAGTGCACATGTTTGCGTTCCGGCGGTCGTGGCTCCGATTTCAGGGTATGCAGGGGCGGAACCCGGCCGGGGGCGGTGCGCGGTACGGCGTGGCTCCGGCTATCTAGGAGTTAGGACCGTCGTGGTGCGGACTGGCTCGTGCCGGACTGGGGAGAAAGGAACGGCTTAGACCGTCGGACCACTATCATGAACAAACTGATTGGCCAGAGTGCCACTCGACTGAGAACCATGCCGTCGACTGTCTGTTCGCGTTTGCACTGCATTCGTCTCCGTTGAGTGCATTTCATGTGCTATTAGATATGGTATCATAGGGTGATGATGCGACTGTACAAACACTGTAACAATCCCAGCCTCTGACCACACAGCACGCTACAATCTAGTCGCTCGGGGTTCATGCACAACGCGGTTGAGTGAGCCAGCAGTCTGTTGGCTTAAGCCAATTACGGCCGTATCCTGTGCCTCGCCATCGACCAGTCAGCACAGCTTGTTCGGTGTCGGAGCGAGCCACACCGACCGACGGGCTGGATTGAGACGTCACCGGCTATGCACCGCAGTAATGGGCGTATATTATTCACTTAGCGCTACCGCAATGCTGTCAAGAATAGTTTACTCCCCATCCGTCCGTAGTCTTGCTGTTTACTTTTTGCGCCCTATCCGAGTCTGTGTGTACCCTTACTCTGCTCCACCCGGCGTTTTGATAACCGTTCCCTGAGCGTACTCGTCCGTACCAAACCCTCTGCTTTTTTCGTACTCGCGTACCCTGTTTGCCCGTACGCTCTCGGCCCCCGCTGCGCCCCTAGTCGTACCAGTCGCCTCCCGTCGGTTCGCCCGCCCGGCCTACATACGCTGGCTCGGGCCGGCCGGCCTGGCGGCGTACGGTGGGCGGGCGTCCAGTGCGGCCGGCCGGGCGGGGGCGGGGGCGGCGGATCGATGGCGGCCGAGTCGATCGTGGGTCGGCCGGGCGGCGGCGGCCCGGGGGAGGACAAACGGTGGCCGTACCACTGACCCCAAACGGGGGAGATGCCGCACGAGGTAGCTCAAGAGTGCTGGTCATCTGCGCCCGAAAGGGACTCCGGCAGCCTGTGGGTTGGATAAAAACGGATGAGTGGATCACAATTTGCTACTGGCTGAAGGAGGGCTCGGCCTCCCAGCCAGGAGATGAATCTCATTGACCTCTCCCTGACTCCCCTGCCCCATACCTCCCGCGGAGACCATTCAGCGCTCGATGTGGTCACCTGCTCTGTGACATCGATAACCTTATTACCATCACCAGGGGTCGCACGGAGCCAGGGCCTGCTGTCGGTACCGCGCCGAGAGTCTCTGTTAGTGATCAGCGTGAGAGGTGGTGAGAGGGACGCAAAAAATGACAGTTTTTGTTCGAATCTCAGGTGGTCGACAAAAAGTAGTCAATGCACCACGAACGTTGTGCGAGCCAGAACGCGCCTAGAGATCTAGTAGGTAAAGGGTTCTTCAATTTGCTCAAGCTACGAGCATCTTCACTTTACTTTTGATTTTCAGTTCTACCCGGACTTCGCTTCCTCCCGTGAGGACATAAATTTCGTCTGCCGTGCCAGCTAGTTGATTACCTTTCTTGGAACGTGCTCGGCCAGACTGAAAACGTGATCCGCGCTTCACGTTGTACTTAAATCTGAAAGAATGGGGGTAAGAGAGAGGTAGTTTGGTTCATTTGGTTCAACGGAAGACAACAAAATAATCGGAGGTAGGACTGGGAACGATTCCAAACTAAGTGTTTGTCTCATCGTGAGGCGTTCAAAGCTGAACTGACACCGGACGCACGATTTTATGATTGATTGCAAAGCATTTTTATTGTTGCTTCCAATCATCTCGTCCCCAACCCCAATCGATTTGCTCAGAGCCTCCATCCGGACTCGATGCAGGCCAGAGTTCGTCACAGCACCGGCGGGCGTTCACCGCCGGCTTACCCCTGTCTTCAGGCGACCCTGCCCGTCAGCGGTTCCCGGTGACCCAGCCGCTGCCCCGGGGCTTCCGTCGCGGTGACGTCACTCGGGCACCTCCGCCAATCTGCGCTGGCCCGAAGGGGGTGGTGTGGATGGGGGGGGGGACAATCGACACCGCTCACACGATGTCAGCCGCCAATAGATCAGGATCAGCACGCACGCGAGCTGCAGGCTTTGTGTGAGGCTAAGGAAATCGGGCGTAAAATATTCACAATCTGGCATTTGACGTTCTCGTATAACAAACGGAGATAGCGTCGCGCCGGGTCGAACTGCATTGCCATGGACGATATGTTCTCGTGGGTCGCTGACAGATCGTAAGTAAGCATATCAGTCGATATGTCCAGTATTTTCACAGCTCCGTCTACACCCGTTGGGGAGTCTGCCTGCATCGGAGCGCAATTACATACGTACACACCGGATGATCAAAAGATAATGCATGGGTGTATTGTTTGATCACTCCATTGAGGTATTGATTGTGACACCACAGAATACAATACACGCCCACGATGTGGATGATATAACCCATTCACACTAACGAGCAATCACAGAGTGCCACCTAAAAATACTGGGTAACGCGTCACACTCCAGTATCTGAGAGTATCAACTGGCACTACAAATCATTTGTAAAGCATATTATCTATGCTGACGTGACACAAGCTATCGCTGATTTCTTCACCTCGTATGCTTTAAATTACTTCACCTGAGTGGATCAGCCGTTAAAATTGTGTAACCCGCGCTACCTCATTCGCCACTCAATCCAAAGTACCAACACTGATTGCACTGCATAAAACCGGGCCCGGGGCCGAGGCCATGGAGTCGTCATGCGACTCACGAAGCGTGAACAAATAACCGTCGACTCACTGTCGACTCACCAATGACTCACGAGTGACTCACGATCTGGCGGGATCTCTCACGGACTAAAACGCCCGCTGGCGTGCGATCGACCGGTCGCTCGCAGCTGGACCGTATACAAACACCACAAACTTCTGCACACAAACAGACGGACATCGGGCAATCATTCTGTTCATGATATAAGACGGCTTCCGCAGCCAGTACCGTACCGAACTGCTGTTCGTTTTCATCGTTGTTCCTACCCGTTACTCTATTCCCGGCACACCTATCCTCTGTCTACATAGATCACAGACTATAATTGGTATCTAAAGCCTCCACAGGCCCCTGGCACCGTAGTTACAATGAACGAGTGTCGGCCTGAACGCCACCCTCGCCTTGTAGTGTGTTGTGTTTCACCAGGTCCCAGTATAGGCCCTTCTTCTTGACCAGTTCGGCGTGTGAGCCCATCTGAGGCAGAGGAGACGGCGAGGGACACGGTTAGAGACATAAAATGGGCACTGACAGACACGCTAGGAATGAGGAAACATCACAAATCAGACCAGACAAAACCAAATTTTAGACAAAACCAGTTTTATCATAGACCTCAAAAGGGGTAGGTTTATAGCTACCGAAGAAGACAGCTCCGGGCATGACACAAGATCGCCTAAACCCAGTCATGAGGACAGAAACAGTGTCGCCCACGATGAGACTGCCGGTCACTGATCGAGGGATGATCGTCAGCGGCTTATCACTCCGGGTCAGGGACCTGCCACTCTCCCAGCAGAACCCGCCGGACCCCGCCCGAACGGTCTGGTACAGCCGAGCCCCGCCCCACATCTCCGACCGAGCGTTTCCGGCCCCGCCGTGGGATAACCGTTGCACGGCCCTGAACGAGTCAGACGGGGAAACTGGCCACACGGCCGGAGATAAGGTATCATAAAATCGTGCCGCCTCGGTCGGTCATTGCGGCAAGCTCTGCAGAACTCTGCAGGCAAAGACACGCGGGCGCTCAGGCGCAAAATCGCAACCGATGCGGGCGGAGCACAGCGGTAATATGACGTTGCGAAATAGGGATCGAGGAAAAATGCACACGTGGATTGCACGCGTAAATGCCTAATTATCGGATCTCATTGAAATTCCGTCAATCATGTCTAATTGTTTTGATAGAACATATGTTGATAATTTTGTTACATCATGCTGATTTGAGCTTATGACTGCTGTGAATGGTTTTTCCTATGTGATCCGATCGGCTCTGATATTCTCCTCCCCCTCATCTACTCTGCCTTTCTCCCCTCCTCCCTCCCTCCTCTCTCACCTCTGCCACCCTGCCGTTGGCGATAACGGCGATGCAGTCGGCGTGTCTGACGGTGGAGAGCCGATGGGCGATCACCAGTACGGTCCGACCCGTCACCACCCGGTCCAGCGCCTCCTGCACCACCTTCTCAGACTCGGCGTCCAGCGCGCTAGGAGGGAGGAAAGGCACAGGTCAGCGCAATGACAGACCAACTGGGCACAAAATGACCGCTGTAGCCGGCGCGTCCTAAAGCCACAATAAACAAACAAATTTCATAACAACCGTGGTGCAAGTTTTATATGACGTAGCCAAGTATGATGTCACAAAGAAGACAGTTCGGTGTGTTGTCTAAAAGCATTTGTATCCTGCCGATTATCAACACTTGGCCATGCCAATGTAGCCTTTTTCTCCGAATCATCCTCCTTCCCTTTCCCTCTCCGTCTGAGTCTTCCTCATCCGCTCTCCGCCCTTTACCTGTCCCTTCCTCTACCTTCCCCGCCACTTACCTAGTTGCCTCATCCAACACGAGGATGCGCGGGTCCTTGAGGAGCGCTCGTGCGATGGCCACGCGCTGCTTCTGACCGCCGGACAGGGTGACTCCCCGCTCGCCGACCGCCGTGTCGTAACCGTCCGGCAGGTCGGAGATGAAGTGATGCGCGTTGGCCAGGCGCGCCGCCTGCATCACCTGGGGGTAAAGGGGAAGGGAAAGGTAAGTGGGGGAGTGGATAGGGTGGTTGCGGGGCCGAGAATTGGGGCCGAAAAAAAACGCATGCGAGCCAGTGCATTTACACGAGTCCTAAATATGACTCCTAGTTGCAGCCCTCCCAGACAAACGGTACGTTACATCAAAGTGACGCCCCATCGCCACATCCACATTAGAGAGACTAGAAGACAGACGGCGGCGCCACTAGACAGAGTCTGTCTACAGACAGAAACAAAGTGTGCACGCTGATGCACGGATGAAAAGTCAAAACGTTGCTTTTGACGTAATGTCTGTTGACTTATCATCCTTTTACCTTTTATCATTTGACTTTTTGTCCAGAACCCGTGCAAGCTGACCGTCCCTAGAAGGAAATGGACATTGGACAGCTGCAGAGCTGGCCGGGCGTCTGCCGAGTGCATACCTCCTCATCAGTGGCGTCCTCCCTGCCGTAGCGAATGTTCTCCCGGATGGAGGTGGCGAACAGCACCGGCTCCTGGTTGATGTAGCCAATGACACGGCCGCGCAGCCAGTGAGGGTCCAGAGAGCGCAGGTCGTGACCGTCTAGGAGAACCTGGCCAGATACCGGGTCATAGAACCTGACAGACAGAGAAGGCACGTTCAGAACACACTTAGCCAGACATTGGGTCATAGAACCTGACCGGCAGAGGGAATACACGTTCAGAAATCAGAACACACGTGACCGTCCAGCAGCATCTGGCCTGTCAGTTAATCACAGAACCTGGCCGGTGGAGAGAACACACGTTCAGAATATACCTGACCCAACAGCGGGCCATAGGATAGGACCTGGCCAGCGAATAGCACATATCGTCACTGGACTGTCAGGCTAGCATCGTCACCGTGAAAGGTCAATGTCATCGTCGAGTTACTGATATCGGTACGGGTTACTGGTAGAGACCATTGTCACAGTCACAGGCCTCCAGCACCGCCACCGTCGTAGCTGCAGTTTCTGCGTTTAAGTTTGGCTGAGTGACTTTGGCCAGTATGCAATCTCGTCGTCTACGCAAAATGGTTACGGTGGACAGGAACTGATGTCTCTAATTCCCCGAACGGAATTCTATAAATTCAACACGGATGCGTACTATTCAGCGACATATAGCTCAGTTGATTCTCCCTAATGCCACGTTCATGAGCACGTTTGTCATTAAGTCATAACTGTCCAGGTTATATGGCGGCCGTTCGTTTTATGGCAGCAGCGACTGAAAAAAACGTATGAACTTCATAAGTAACCGTTGCATTTGTTAGGAATAAAGTGGTGCGTGGAGCAATATGAGCGGAAAACAAACGGAGACAGTTGACAAGATCAGGAACCAGAGGATTGTGTGCAGTAGTAGTCGGAAAAGACACGCCAGGACCAGGCTGCCGGGTCGTCACCAATCGACTCGGTGTCAGGGAAACCGGTATCAGTCTGGCTCAGCAGTCAGCCGTCAGTCTCGGTACTGGGTCAATGTCTCTTTTTCAATCTCATCAAAACGTTGTTGGAAAAGGAAACATTGTAGTCTTGGAATCACACTATTTCACTCACTCCGAGGAAACTGGTAATCATAACACTAATTGTACATAAAAAATACAAAGTCGCTAAGGTACAAGATATGTGTCCGATAGAAGATAAGTGTCCTGTGATGTCACCCCTAATATGATTAGAAGCATGACATTAAAAATCTGCTATCCAATGGTTGAGAACAATACCAACCTCTCCAGCAGAGCCGCACAGGTGGACTTTCCTCCTCCAGAGTATCCGACCAGGGCGAGCATGTGACCCGACGGCACCTTCAGCTGAAGGCCGTCCAGCACCGTCTGTAAGGGCCAAGGGGAAGATCGTATTGATCACTGATCAGTGAACGTGGGGGAACTGATAACGACTGCTGCTGCAGGCCGTAGAATACCGTCTGAAAGGGAAAGGGATCGTAACAATAGCTGAACATGGGGACCTGACAGCACCAAGTCCAGCACCGCTTGAAAGGATAAGACCGGCACAATTTAATCAGAGTACTGGCAAGAAACATTAATTCAATTAGCAATTGATCTCCCAGTAGTGACGACCAGAACAGAGACAACGGCAGTGTCATTTGGTGGAAGGAATTATACGTAAGCAGAAACACAGCACAGGAAAAAGGCAGAACCAACTCAACACCTCGATTAAAATCATATTGTCCATTGCCCCACAACTGGCACAACCAGTCCCATTTGTGGTTTATACTCGCAAAAAAAAGATCATGCATGGATCCCTGCCCCCTGGAAAATTATTGTCCTACTCACCACTCCGGGCCGGGTGGGGTAGCTGAATGTAACGTCACGGAACTCCACGCTGCCAGTCAGCTGACTGACAGGAATTATATCACCGCCGCGGATCGGGATCTCAGACTTCAGGTTGATGTACTGTGAAAACAACGCCACGATCTCGTGAATTCATGACAGAATACAGTGTGCTGAGATTATTACAGACCTACAGGGTGTGCAGAAATGTCGAGGTGACTCATATCAGTGAGTCATGAATGTCGCACAAATGATCTAGACTTATACACATTGCACGCACGCAAAAGCCTCAATCACGACATGACAAGGACATTTCATACGCAATGCGCATTCCCATAAACGTATTCAAATAGGCACACGTTTTACGTCATTGGTGCCGCATTATTTCATTCCACGGGTCAATCAGATTTCCCAAATTTGTAAGAACAGTTGAAGTCAGATAGTGGCATGAGGATTGTGCATATTTTAGATGATGCTGGCTTGGAATGCTGCTAACCTGTTGAACAATGTTTGGATCCCAAAAGTACATGTGCTACATCTTCCAGACACTGGTACGAAATGTGTGCAATGTTTGATTACCACATGTTTCAGTGAAAGGCTAGTTGAAAGCTGTTCCTGTCATTAGTCCACAATTAATGCAGGAACTCATGTAATTCCTCGAGTGTCACGCAAAAACCACGTAGACATGTCTCGCGAGTCTGACAAGCAAGCACAGGATTAAGTCTGAGCACATATTTAAACCTTTCGTATGACATACCGCTCGCCGAAAACAAACGCTCCGCAATATGCACTTTGCAACCCGACCTCTTCTCACACAATATGAATAAGCGTAACTTTCCCAAGGCCACTCATCCCAGCTCACTCACGCTCTTACCTAGCTCACTAGCTCAGCTTGACCCCTCATTTTTCTTCAGACCGTGCTCTCAGCCCACATCAACTCATCCGGCATCCCGCCACCTCACACCCTATCTCTCTTACCCTTACTCTCACAGCCTTACCCAAGCTCACCCTTACTCTCACAGCCTTTCTCTCCCAGGATCTTCCCAGTCCTCTCACCCCACCCCCACCCATTCTCACCTCAAACACACGTGCACCAGCGCTCATCCCACGCACGAACGTCCCAAACAGGATGGACATTTGCGCCAGGGAGCGCTGGATGGTCTGAGATGCCACGAGGAAGGACATCAGGTCGCCGGCCGAGAGCTGCTGCATGGACATCAGGTAGCCGCCGTAGTAGAGAGTAGCCAGCACCACGCTGTTCATGAACAGGTTGGCGCCTGCCTGAAGGTAGGGCAGGTTGGTCAGTACGACTGGGGGTGGGGGTCGGGGATGTACCTACCTAAATCAGACGCGTTTGACAGGACATGATATCAATGACGTTCGCCTTACGATACAAGCGAACACGATGACGAAGTTATGGATAGTGCGACATGAGATGGAGACAGAAACGCCGAATATGTGTTCACCAGTCACCAGAACAATATGTCTGTCACCTGAGGTCACTCCCGAGTTTAAAGACAGACTTCTCACACTATGCAACTACAGAACATCTGAGCTCTTACATCCTCAACATCTCTACCCTCGCATCCCACAAACCTGAGCCAATCCAGCCGTCATACCTGGAAGCAGCCGATGCCAATTCCCAGCCGGATATGCATGTCACGAGACTTGTTCACCTCCTCCACGTATATTTCCGTCTCGCTATCCTCCATGGCGAAGGCTCGCACCGTTCGTACGTTCCCGACGGCTTCCTCAGCTACCGCCGTCGAGTGCGCCACCTGCCGGGCGCGCAGCGAAACTGAGTTTCGCCTTTCAGCCACATCACACTTTTAAATGCAAAAAAACAGGTTTAGTCGATCTTTGAATACCAACACAGGCACACGTGACATCGCAATGTGATGTCTAGAGATGTCAAGGAAACGTCTTGAAACTGTTCGCTCAGTGATGGCGAGTCATATATCTGAGGAGCATTATATCTGAGAAAACGCGCTCCACTGTAACTGACCTGCTGCTGCGCCTCGCGGGAGAGCTCTCGCAGTCCCCTGCCGATCAGTGTACCCACACTGATCACAGAGGTGATCACCACAGCTGAGCCGAGCGTGAGCTGCGGTGACATGTGGTACAGAGCGGCCACACAGCCCAGCACCTGGGGACATGGCATGGGACTTAGCAGGGGTGAGATGTGACCGCACAGAGCAGCCAGTCGCATATTCAGTAGTACTTCTGGAACAGGCCAGACTTTGCATGAAGATATCCGACCTGTCCACTGTCCAGTGATGAGCTTCTTATCCAGACCAACCTCGTAACTCAGCCATTCAACGAATTGGGGAGGATCACAATCGTATCAGTGATAATTTATCAGTTTTCCGTGGTAACTGCAACCGAGAAGAGCGGAAATAACAAAATTATCTACCATTCGTCGACTATTTTTTTTTCTCGTGACCTGTTCCTAGTCATAGCCATCACCTTACCCTAACCAAAGCCTCGCCCTCAACTGTCGAGTCTGTCCCTCCAGAAACGTCCCGTACATACCTGCGCTACGCTGCGCATGCCCTGCGACACGCACATCTTGAACGAGCTCTTGAAGTCCTGGACGTCAGTGGTGAGTCGGTTGATGACCTCGCCCGTCTTGTGGTGGTCGTAGAAGGCTACGTCTTGCTGCATGAGCACGGAAAACAGCTGCGAGCGCAGGTCGGCCGCCATGCCCTCGCCCATGTACGACAGACACACGATGTAGGCGAACGTGAACAGAGACTGCAGAGAAAGAGAGAGAAAACGAGGAAGAGCAGTGTCAGGCGTATGGAGCAAGATTACTTTTCGGTACTTGTAGAGCACCGAACTTGTAGATATAACTTGCAGAGTGTCCAGAAAAAGAAAGCAAGAACGCAAAGGGAAACGGGCCAATAAGTCCGTTGTCATTATCATCTTGATCCCCTAACTAAGGCGTGAGAGACACCAATACTACATAGGGATGGACACCAGACATTAACGTTTATACCTTACTGGATGGTAAGCAAATTCAGACGTCCTCAATGCCGTACTATCGCTGCTGCCAACACCATCTGTCATTACCCATCCCTCTCCCACCTGAAGTCCATAGAACGAGATGAGTCGCAGGGCCGGTGCGCGCAGCTCATCGGTGAAGTGGAGGCCGCCACCCTCCGCAGACGCGAAGTGGGTGAGCACGTTGATCAGGTCTCCCAGCAGACGTGGAATCTCCACATTACATAGCGCCACTATGGCTGCACTCTGCAGGAGCCAGAGATGGCATAGTTGTGACTTGTGAGGCATAACTCATATGTGAATGTTTTTGGTACATAGCAAATTAATTCCAGAGCAAAATTGCATAAAATTCGAAGTGTACGGCGACATCTACAAGACAATCAGTTTGTGTCCATTTTATCATAAGATTAGATATCTAGATATCAGATACAGTAGGAATATTTTTTTTTGTCTTTTGTCGCCCGTCCGCTCGGCCCACCCGACACGCCCACTCACGCAGACGGCTCCGATCAGGTAGTGCAGGTAGGGTCTGAGCAGGCTCCAGAGGCGGCGCCAGTCCAGTCGCAGTCGCTCCGTCGCCGGCTCCTCCGGCACCACGCGACTGTGCTCGTGCTCACAACGTGCCGTGACGCTCCCCAGACGCCAGCGCCACACGCAAACAGCCGACACGCTCAGGCCGAGAGGCAGGATGGAGAAAGGTGGAACGGGCCGGCCGGACCGAGCCGGCGCTCTGCCCACCGGCTGCCGAGGCGCCCATCGCGTCACTGGCCGGTTCACTGGGGTCCGCAGCGGCACCCTGGGAACGGAGGAAGGATCAGAGAACTTCAGGGGGTCAATGTGGTTCAGTGAGGCGAGAGAGGTGTGTAAGAAACCGACTAGATCCCAGTAGACTTCCCAATGGTATCTAGAATAAGTGTCAGAGACTGTTTAAATTGATCAGCAAACACTAGAGAGCAGAGGCTGGATGGAAGAAGAGGAACCAGTGCAGTAACAGGGGAGAGATTAGAGTGGTGCATCACAGCCATAAGCAGGACAGGGACCTTTGGGGATCATACCAGGTCACAGAGTTTAGTCTGGCAGAAAGGCATTCCCATAAGCTATGGAGGCTTTATTTTACAACCACATTCATACAACACCACCACAATTACTACATGAACTTGCACAGTGAGGGTTTTCTTAAGTGTATCGAGGTGCAACATGTCAACATGAGCCAATCTTACCTGGTAGCCTGCAAGATGGTGCTCTTCAATGGCACAGTCCTACAGGCCTGCAGGCGAATTAGTGATGACAACATTCTTGGATTACTGGAAACAATGACAAAGCCAGACACAGTATTAATTAGCACTACAATCACTGAAAATAGGAAGGTAGGTACTGAAGTGAGTGAAGAACATGGTAAAACTTCAGTTTTTTTCATTAAAGAAACACAATTTTGATGACTTTTTAAGGTGGAATGCAACAGATGTGACAGATATTGTTATTGTTGGAAGGTGTTGCATAAATGTCCTTGTTATTGTCGAGGTTTGATGTAAAAAATAACTATCCACTGTAATGCTTATTGCCCAGGTTGAGGTTGTCAGATGTTTAATATATCATTGCTGTAGACACCTATCAGATTCAGCCCTTTTGAGGAACAGGGGCTAAGAAAAAAGAAATACAGAGAAAACAATTAGACAAAACCTAGATTATATTTTACAAATAACTAGGTACATTTGCAGATCCAGAAATATGGCACCTACTTAAATATTAGAAGGCAAGCACCTCAAAATGTCCTGCCAAAAAAAAAATCTTTTATTTTCTTTTTTCAAAGTAAATACATAACTTTTCTTTTTAAGTTTTTTTGGGTGACGCAGACAATATTTTTTTTTAATTTCTTGGTACATAACACAAACTAAACTAAAGCGCATACAATGTACCTAGCTACGGATATCTATTCAACTGATGCAATTTTATCGAGCTAAGACGTTTCTTTTGAAAGCTAATTTTAGATGCAATTGTGATGCTGAAATGGATTTTTGGAACACAGAAGTAGTGAACTAGGTACTTACCTATTTGGACAAAAGATGTGAAAGTAGGTACCTAGTACCTACCTATTTGATGATGGTTTTAATTACAGGACAAACAAGTTTCCAGCTTCAATTATCTGAGCCAGCCAATATCTATTGCAATAGTAAATACCAATGCTGTCAATAATGTCTCCTAAGCACAAAATGTCCGAAATTGTCTCCTAAACACCAATGTCCATGATAAACACTCAAAATATAACCTATCAGCTATGATTCAGCCTGAGCCTTTGACTTTCCATCCCAGAGACAAAATTTCTAGCAGAGCCTATCACCATCAGAGAAGGGCATGAGTGAGACAATAAAGAAAATAAGCTTCGATTGAATTATATTAAGACCTGTAAACCCGAGCAATACAACGAATTGCAACGAATTATTTTTTAATAGTTCAAAACTTCAATAATGCAATTATTTGTGGAAGACTTTTTGTCTTTTACGCGCCAGAAACGCAACATTCCTTGGGTGGCCATATCTACATATATAAAAATCAAAACGTCTGTACGTATGTATGTATGTATGTATGTATGTATGTAACGCGTCAGTCACGCTTGGCGGGCTATTGCTCCGGAACGGTGCGGGCTACGGGGGTGAAATTTTGGGCGCAAGTCGGACGCGTGCATCTGTTTATTGTATTAAATTTTGGTGGGGGTGCGCTCGGTGGTTTGATCAAAACGTCTGTACGTATGTATGTATGTATGTATGTATGTAACGCGTCAGTCACGCTTGGCGGGCTATTGCTCCGGAACGGTGCGGGCTACGGGGGTGAAATTTTGGACTTAAGTCGGACGCGTGCATCTGTTTGTCGTATTAAATTTTGGTGGGGGTGGGTTTGGTGGTTTGCACGTGGCGGGCGCATCTTTGCCGCATTTTGGGCCGCGGCCGGCGCCGAGCAGAGAGCACGCGCCTTAGGCTCAGTTTCTTCGCTTGCCAAACTGAGCAAAATCAGAGCCGGAAGGTCACTGACCTTTGGCAATGAATACCGGAACAGAGCACCGCCGGCCAGGAGGAGACGCCAAATTTATTCTGGTAATAACTCGGCCGCTACTGGGCCGATTTTAATGAAAATTGATTTATTACGCTGCGCGTAATGCTGTCCCTCTTTACGCTGCGCGTAATGCTGTCCCTCTAGTTTACATATATAAAAATCAAAATGTCTGTACGTATGTAACGCGTCAGTCACGCTTGGCGGGCTATTACTGTGGAACGGTACGGGCTACGGGGGTGAAATTTTCGACGCAAGTCGGACGCGTGCATCTGTTTGTCGTATTGAATTTTGGTGGGGGTGGGTTCGGTGGTTTGCACGTGGCGGGCGCATCTTTGCGGGATTTTAGGCCGCGGCCGGCGCCGATCAGAGAGCCACGCGCCTTAGGCTCAGTTTCTTCGCTTGCAAAACTGAGCGAAATCAGAGACGGAAGGTCACTGACCTTTGGCAATGAATACCGGAACAGGGCACCGCCGGCCAAGAGGAGACGCCAAATTTATTCTGGCAATAACTCGGCCGCTACTGGGCCGATTTTAATGAAAATCGATTTATTACGCTGCGCGTAATGCTGTCCCTCTAGTCTATATTATAAATCCTAAAAAGTCCGCCGCCGTCGGGGTAACTCCCAAAATGGCTTATTACGGCGCCGTCGATTGACGCAAGAGGGTGAAATTTTTGCCACTCGTGGGTCGCGTCATTCAACAGGTCGTATTAAATTTTGGGCACGATGCGGCCGGGGGTGCGCCCGTACCGCGTGCTCACGTGGTGTGCCGTAGGGTTAACACTAGAATCGGCAACAGGCTATCATGCTCGGGAACGGTAAGGGCTACGGGGGTGAAATTTTCGCTGTAAGTCGGACGCGTGCACTCAATTGTCGTATTAAATTTTCGAGGGTGTGGGTTCAGCGGTGTGCACGTGGTGGGGGCGCGACCGGTGCCGAGCAGAAGGCACGTGCTTTAGGTTCAGTTGTTCGCTTAAAACTGAGTGAAAAGCATCGGAGTCGGGAGGTCGTTGACCTTTGACAACGAAGGCCGACACAAGGCACCGCTCGCCAAGGGGATTCGCCAGTAAATACAATTAATTTGTTTTTGCGTATGTATGTATGTAATGTCCGTATGTATGTATGTATGTATGTATGTCAAAATGTCCGTATGTATGTATGTAACGCGTCAGTCACGCTTGGCGGGCTGTTGCGAGGCGACGGTGCGGGCTACGGGGGTGAAATTTTCGACGCAAGTCGGACGCGTGCATCTGTTTGTCGTATTAAATTTTGGTGGGGGTGCGCTCGCCGGTTTGCACGTGGCGGATATATATAAAAATCATAGGATATATATAAAAATCAAAATGTCCGTATGTATGTATGTAACGCGTCAGTCACGCTTGGCGGGCTATTGCTCCGGAACGGTGCGGGCTAGGGGGGTGAAATTTTGGGCGCAAGTCGGACGCGTGCATCTGTTTGTCGTATTAAATTTTGGTGGGGGTGGGTTTGGTGGTTTGCACGTGGCGGGCGCATCTTTGCCGCATTTTGGGCCGCGGCCGGCGCCGAGCAGAGAGCACGCGCCTTAGGCTCAGTTTCTTCGCTTGCAAAACTGAGCGAAATTAGAGCCGGAAGGTCGCTGGCCTTTGGCAACGAACACCGGCGCTGGGCACCGCCGGCCAAGAGGAGTCGCCAAATTTATTCCGGCCATAACTCGGCCGCTACCGGGTCGATTTTAATGAAAATTGCCTTACCACGCTGCGCGTAATGCTGTCCCTCTTTACGCTGCGCGTAATGCTGTCCCTCTAGTTTACATATATAAAAATCAAAATGTCTGTACGTATGTAACGCGTCAGTCACGCTTGGCGGGCTATTACTGTGGAACGGTACGGGCTACGGGGGTGAAATTTTCGACGCAAGTCGGACGCGTGCATCTGTTTGTCGTATTGAATTTTGGTGGGGGTGGGTTCGGTGGTTTGCACGTGGCGGGCGCATCTTTGCGGGATTTTAGGCCGCGGCCGGCGCCGATCAGAGAGCCACGCGCCTTAGGCTCAGTTTCTTCGCTTGCAAAACTGAGCGAAATCAGAGACGGAAGGTCACTGACCTTTGGCAATGAATACCGGAACAGGGCACCGCCGGCCAAGAGGAGACGCCAAATTTATTCTGGCAATAACTCGGCCGCTACTGGGCCGATTTTAATGAAAATCGATTTATTACGCTGCGCGTAATGCTGTCCCTCTAGTCTATATTATAAATCCTAAAAAGTCCGCCGCCGTCGGGGTAACTCCCAAAATGGCTTATTACGGCGCCGTCGATTGACGCAAGAGGGTGAAATTTTTGCCACTCGTGGGTCGCGTCATTCAACAGGTCGTATTAAATTTTGGGCACGATGCGGCCGGGGGTGCGCCCGTACCGCGTGCTCACGTGGTGTGCCGTAGGGTTAACACTAGAATCGGCAACAGGCTATCATGCTCGGGAACGGTAAGGGCTACGGGGGTGAAATTTTCGCTGTAAGTCGGACGCGTGCACTCAATTGTCGTATTAAATTTTCGAGGGTGTGGGTTCAGCGGTGTGCACGTGGTGGGGGCGCGACCGGTGCCGAGCAGAAGGCACGTGCTTTAGGTTCAGTTGTTCGCTTAAAACTGAGTGAAAAGCATCGGAGTCGGGAGGTCGTTGACCTTTGACAACGAAGGCCGACACAAGGCACCGCTCGCCAAGGGGATTCGCCAGTAAATACAATTAATTTGTTTTTGCGATATCTCAGCCGTTTCTGGGCCGATTTAGCTGAAACTTGGACTGTCGGTGGCAGTGTAGGGTAGGGTAGGGTAGGGTAGGGTAGGGTAGGGTAGGGTAGGGTAGGGTAGGGTAGTGTAGGGGTAGGGGTAGGGTAGAGGTATGGTAGGGCATGGTAGGGTAGGTTAGGGTAGTGTAGGGGTAGGGGTAGGAGTAGGGGTATGGTAGGGTAGGGTAGGGTAGGGTAGGGTAGGGTAGGGTAGGTTAGGGTAGTGTAGGGGTAGGGTAGGGTAGGTTAGTGTATAGGAGTGGGGTAGGGTAGGGTAGGGTAGGGGTAGGGTAGGGTAAGGTAGGGTAGTGTTAGGGTAGAGTAGGGTAGGGTAGGGTAGGGTAGGGTAGGGGTAGGGTAGGGGTTGGGTAGGGTAGGGGTAGGGGTAGGGGTAGGGGTAGGGTTGGGTAGGGTAGTGTAGGGGTAGGGGTATGGTAGGGTAGGGGTAGGGTGGGGTACGGTAGGGTAGGGTGGGGTACGGTAGGGTAGGGTAGGGTACGGTAGGGTAGGGTAGGGTAGTGTAAGGGTAGGGTAGGGTAGGGTAGTGTAAGGGTAGGGTAGGGTAGGGTAGGGTAGGGTAGGGTAGGTTAGGGTAGTGTAGGGGTAGGGTAGGGTAGGTTAGTGTATAGGAGTGGGGTAGGGTAGGGTAGGGTAGGGGTAGGGTAGGGTAAGGTAGGGTAGTGTTGGGGTAGAGTAGGGTAGGGTAGGGTAGGGTAGGGTAGGGGTAGGGTAGGGGTTGGGTAGGGTAGGGTTAGGGGTAGGGGAGGGTAGGGGTAGGGGTAGGGTAGGGGTAGGGTTGGGTAGGGTAGTGTAGGGGTAGGGGTATGGTAGGGTAGGGTAGGGTACGGTAGGGTAGGGTAGGGTAGGGTAGTGTAAGGGTAGGGTAGGGTAGGGTAGTGTAAGGGTAGGGTAGGGTAGGGTAGGGTAGGGTAGGGTAGGGTAGGGTAGGGTAGTGTAAGGGTAGGGTAGGGTAAGGTAGGGTAGGGTAGGGTAGTAGGGTAGGGTATGGACTAGGGTAGGGTAGGGAATTGTAAGGTAGGGTAGGGTAGGGTAGGGTAGGGTAGGGTAGGGTAGGGTAGGGTAGAGTTAGGTAGGGTAGGGTAGGGTGGGGTAGTAGGGTAGGGTAGGGTAGGGTAGGGTAGGGTAGTAGGGTAGGGTAGAGTAGGGTAGGGTAGGGTAGGGTATGGTAGGGTAGGGTAGTAGGGTAGGGTAGGGTAGGGTAGTAGGGTAGGGTAGGGTAGGGTAGGGTAGGGTAGGGTAGGGTAGTGTAGGGTAGGGTAGGGTAGGATAGGGTAGGGGTAGGGTTGAGTTCAAAAAGGGCCCAACATACAAAACACTTGAACACCCCGCAACTATCACCATCCCTTACAGTTCAATTAAAAACAGCTACCCAAATCTACCCAAATAATACAGCTAAAAATACAAGTCAATCACCCAAAACTGATGCACCCGTAACATAACATAAATCAAAACATACAGTTATCGCGTAAACCTGTACCTCTAGTCTATATTATAAATCCTAAAAAGTCCGCCGCCGTCGGGGTAACTCCCAAAATGGCTTATTGCGGCGCCGTCGATTGACGCAGGAGGGTGAAATTTTTGCCACTCGTGGGTCGCGTCATTCAACAGGTCGTATTAAATTTTGGGCACGATGCGGCCGGGGGTGCGCCCGTGGC